CTATGTCAGACTTTGGGAATGCGCGACCCTATGTGAACTATCAGCAGGCAACTGAATGAATGGTTGACGCTACATTCGATAGTCAATTTTGCGACAAAATCACGACCACGCTGAAAACGAAGAAACACAGAGACAGGACGACCACCCGTCCTGTCTACGTGACTGTTTGCTTTCACTGTGGTCGGTATTTCGTTGCGCAATTTAATAATAAATTGATTGATATGTGGGGTTTAACGTACCGACCTCGCCATATGAATTATGAGAGATGCCATAGTGGAAGGCTCCGGAGATATCGACCACCAGGGGTTCTTTAACGTGCACCCAGATCAGAGCACATGGGCCTACAACATTTCCGCCTCCATCAGAAATGCAGCTGCCGCAGCCGGGATTTGATCCCGCGATCTGGGGGTTATCAGCTGAGTACCTTAGCAACTAGACCACCGTGGCGGGGCTTAATATTGAACTCTGACATGCCACAACTAGCGCACAGCTAGTACTAATGTAGTCACCTCTACTTTATTCAGGCATTTATTCATATATGTTTCTTTAGGCAATGATGTTTTAAGCACTTGATAAGCCACTTTTGAAACACTGTCTTCTTGTTGCGTGCGTGCAATTTGTTTTTAAAGAGTAAACCACTTCATTACTGCATAGTAATAATAACTACTGCATATATTTTTTTTTAAATCTAGCTCGTAATGTGTTCCCGTGGGTCGCTTTATGAAGTAGCCATTCCAGATAATCGGGACGTGCATAAAATTTCACTTCGTTCCTACTAAAATCTGATAACGTTATAGGGATTCACTTAACAGTTTTGTATTAGCGAATTTCTCACTCTTAGGAATTACTCTTTGGCTTCACGACCATTGTAGTTGGTGGCTACAATGGTCGTGAATACGCGACACGATCCTGATGACATCTAGCAGTGTTTATATTGTTTGAAACGTTTTGCGTTCACTATTTAAAGAGTGCTACTTTTTTAGCTGTTGTTAGAAATGTTTTTACTAATCCTATGATCAGCCTGATTTATTTCACAGGACAACATCACTGCGAGCTTCTTGTATGGGACAGTCGAATACGACAAGTTTATCAGCGCCACGAAAACTATACTGACTGTCACAACGAATACAGAGTGCACTGCGGCAATGCATCGTTCTTGGTACAGCTTCATCCAAGCTGCCCGAATTTCGTTAGCCCTGTTCAGCATTGGAAATACGAATAAAATATTTTTTATATAGCTATAGTATCATTATTAAGCAGGAGAGTGCATAAAGAAGTGCTCGCCTTGTTTTGTTTCCTGTTAATAGCAATTTAAATTTGTGATTAGGCCTACTCAGTTACCTCTGGAATTGACAGCACAAATAACACACAACTGCAGGAACAGACATGGGCTTGCTGGTTTTAATGTGGCCGATAACAACACCGTGCAAAGCGTATTGTGCTGCTTTAGTAGCCTAGGGAAAGGCCCAAGTTTTATGCTTGAGTTGCCGGTGAGCAATCGTCTGCTATTTCTAGACATATACATCATATGTTTTTTTAAGACACGTGTGTTGTATGTCTTTGCCTATAGCTAGGAAAGATTTGTTACCGTATGGGTCGACACTTTCTAAATCTATCTAGAAGGTCATCTGTTCTCTTTGCCTTCAGTCTGCTCTGCCAATGTCCTGTGAGCACATGCTTGATAAGAGCTTTAGGGCCTATATTGATAGACTTAAAAACGCCGACTTGCCCAGATTCATTTTATCTCATGTAGCTGAATCTTTCCTACAAAAATTCAAATGAAAGAAGAAAAACACACAGACCTGGCAAGAGCGGAGGAGTCCACAAGTAGTGCCCTATACCCACCGTGTTGCGCATGGCCTGAAAAAGTTGCTGTCGGGTACGGTGTGCCCGTGGTGTTTTGACACCAAGGTAACTTGGTGGTTTATGCGCACGCATAGGGAAAGAGAAGGAGCCACAGTGTGAGGCGAAGCGTGGGCAGACGTTCGTGAAGCGCGTTGTTGGCGTGGTGTATAAAATTCCACTGACTTGCGAGATGGTGTACACGGGTCAAACAGGTCGTTGTGTGAATATTAGAGCCCGCGAACATTTTAAATCGTTAGATAAAGGAACACGCTCCAATTTAACCCTTCATTCTAAACGGTACGCCAGTGCTGAGCAAAATCACGATTTTTTGCAGAAGCCATGAAAAATGGGCACGTAAAATATTTGATTCCTTTTACATATTGTAAGAATGGCGAGGCAAATTGTAGTAATAGCTCTTCGGCGTTTTGCAGAAAGAAAAAAAAGGTTTCCTGAAATTTTTTCTGTAATCTTGAGTGACTAGTAGGGCGAAAATGCATATAATGATTGTTATTAATTTATTGTGCTTTGCTTCTTTTTTTGTTAAGAGCTTGTAGCATGACTATGTGACCGCATGAGTACATATACTTTAGCCTGGCATACGTGAATAAACAGTTCGCAGTCGCGCCACTTTCCTGTCTCCTTCGTTACCGGTGTTAGTTATGTTATTGGCTGAATAAATCTTTTGCTGATGCTTTGGGACAACGAATTGTCGCTGTGAACGGGCACCGTGGCGGAATAATTGACGGGTACTTCACCGCTTTGCCATCGCCGTTAGACATGGCGATTCCCGCAGTGCACCTGCGGCATACCCTCACGCACGGCTCTGGAATTTCAGTGACAGTTAGCACTTCTCCAGCAAGAAACTTCATCGATTACCCCCCATGTGGACAGCAAGACACAACAGACACACCACTGTTTCACACAACTACATTTTGCCGTCGGTTCTCTCGATCGAGTCTTGACAACAATTGCATACGCAGCCTTTCGCTGGAATCCAAAGTCACACACGCGGGTTCTCTCTGTAAGCCTGGTTATCACGATAAAAACTGAAGATGGAATTCTAGGTTTGCCGCTATAGTCCCATACTGACTAACAAAGCTCATTTCGCGACCATGGCTTTGCGTGAAGCGTACGAGACGCCTTCGCTTGTTTTGTGCCTGCTAGTGAAAACGTTGCAAGAAATGTCTTCCTTCAATGTGCAGTAATCTGAAAGATCACGAGTAAAAATGTTATTGTACCTCTTACTTGCTAAGAAAGGAGAACGGAAGCACGTGTTTTGGAATCAGTAGCTGGAGCACACGCTTGGAACGTCACCAGCTTGAAAAAATTACAAGGGGCGAAGTTTACGGCATTCCGAGTTCAGCATTCCGAGTTCATTCCGAGAAGTTCAGCATTCCGAGTTCTTCTATGTGTTCAGCAGGAGACGCAGAAACACGTCGGCACTGTGATTAAAAGGAAATAGATGCCTCACGTCGATACGCCTTACGTATACGTAAACACACGTTGACTGTACGTACTGCACCGCGCTCGAGCCTTAACCACGGCCGGGCTAGAGAGCGAGCGGCGCGCGCGCTTTTACGGCCTTCGCAAGAGGCCTAGTTCCTGCCTGCGGCCGCTGCTAGGAGCTGGCGCTGCGGGCCAACCCTGCGGACGCGCTCGTCTACCACTCCGCGCGCGGGCGAGCTATGCGCGGCTTCTGCTCTTCTTTTTTTTATTTTTCACTACAATCACCGCTACTGGCGTACGCAGAAGGGGGGTTAAAGGGGGCCGGGTAGGAAGAACCAAACGAAGACTGCGTGCCCATCCCCGAATAATGGTTTCTGATCTTCGGCTCATTATTTGTGTCGCACGCTACGCACCAGCCCACGGCCGGGCTAGAGAGCGGCGCTACAGTGCGCGCCGCTTTCTCTCTAGCCCGGCCGTGACCAGCCATACGCGACTTCGATGTATCTTCTCAAAGCGACGATGAGCCATTTTGCAATTTCTCTGAAGAAATTAATGAAATAATTACAAAATTCGACAGAACGTGGAATCGCCCTAAATTGTATCGTGAATAAATTACAAGCTTTGGCTTTTCTCTGTTGTGTGGTTTAATTTTTGTGTACTTTTTTGGTCTTTCACGCTGCCCTCCCTGCCCCCCCTCCCCCTTTTCTGAACTGAAATCCTAAGTACTCCGCTATCGTGGGCGCCCACCATCGGGTGCAACAAACAGAATTGCTGCAAAATTTTGCTCTCAGCGCAGCGTGATTGATTCGCCTTGGCTAGTTTCAATGTTTCGGTTTCATATGCAGGTTGAAGTACTTAGCGGCGTACTCTAATTGTTATAGGTTACGACTTAAAACTTGCAGAGCGTTAGTTAGAAATCTTTAAAAACGCATGCCGAAGAAAAAGCATCGGGGATAATCTGTGAACTGAAAGGCACCAGGCAAACTGGAATCGAGTTTATTAGTTTATTATATGGAAACGAGTTCGAGCACCAGAAAAATCATCTTTGGCGTGACAGAACAGTCTTGCACAAAAGAAACGTTGTTCGAGCTGGAGAAGCTTCACAGTCGGAAGTGCTTTCTCGACGGCTTATGTGTATAGTTCATGTGCTTTTCATTGTCGTCGGTGACTCGAGTGGAGTGATTCACTAAAAGGATCCTGAAGAATTTGTCAGCAATCAAACTTGCTGACCGTCTTCCGTGACTATTGTCAACACTTTCGGGGCAGTTCAGCAGAGGTACGTCCTCAAGATGCGGTCCTACGAGCAGCTGTAGAACTTCGAGAACATGCGTGCGTGGCAGGTGTTTTGCTAGTTTCTCGAAGAATGTGACGATCCCGTTTAAAAGTGCAAGGAACTCTGGCCTCGGGTAGGCAAGGCCGCTTCTGTCCTGGCCTCTCAAAAGCGCGTACAGTGGCTGATCTTTGTCGCTTGTAGTGAGGAGCATGGCGCAAGATTCGCACCCGAAGTCCGTGATCAGTTTCGCGATGTAACCGCCGACGTAGGCCAAACCAGAGCATGTCACAGACAGTGGGGGAGCGGAAGTACATTCCCTAAGCTCTTTCAGGTCGTCAGAGAACGTCACCGACAGGCTACTGACCAACTTGTCAACATCAGTGTCGCACGTCACGACTTCAGGTGGCCTTGCGAACTTGGATTTTACAATTTGGTCCTAAGCAGCCGTCACAGCCCGGGCGTCGAGCATGTCATTTCCACCGCACCTGACTCTGCCGAATACTGCTTCTATGGGGTCGCTGTTAAGCTTCCTTGTTAGCACGTAGTTGATGCCTTTGGTTAGGAGGTATCGAGTTGTTTCCACTGTTGACTTTGTAGTGAAAAGCAGGGTCTCAAACGTTTCGTCGGTGAAAGCGCCCTTCCCAGAGGCGACTGAGCTTGCTTGTACTTTCTTTACATAGCACGTGAAGTCATTTTCTAGCCACAATAGCCGGCCATCGTCCACGTCTGCAATGGGGGCCTTCTGCCCCGTTCCCCCGAAAGAGGTGTCGTGCATATCAAACCAATCTTTCATTGTCCTCATGAAGTGCACGGTGGAACTTGCTCGCCTAAATGCGGAGAGTGCAGGGTCATTGCGGGAGTTTTCTTCGAGGTGTTCCAGTGCTGCACAAACCTGTGGGGAGAAGATCTGAACCGCACGAAGTGCATTCATCTTCTCCAGGTTTGTAGGGTAGACGTGCTTCCTCGTCAAATTCCTGGCAAGCTTGATTGTCATATTCTTCTGGTGCTCGTACAGCTCTTGTACGAAGGTGCCACTAATCACACCTGAGCCATCCGTAAGCTGTCGCTCCAGGAACTGGTTGCGCACATTCTTCAGGACGTGGCAAGGATCGAAGCTGAGCAGAATGATGCGGCTGTCCTCGTGTGGGTGCCTCACGACTGTTTGCAGAGAGCCACTCCCCAAGTGTTTAAACAAGGTGACGTTGGCTGAGTAATTGTCAGTCACAATGCGGGTCACAACGAAGCCACACAATTTCACCGCAGCGATCACCTCTTTTGTCCACGTGAACAGGTCCCTGTCGCTCAGCTGTTTTGTGAAGTAATACGAACAGGGAATTTTGTACTTGCTTGACAGGCCTTGCAATACAAAGCACAAAACTCTGTTCACGAGCACTTCCTTCGAGCTGCTGGGCGTATCACCGCCGGGCTTGTCTTTAAGGCCAAACACAGCGTCGGCCTTCCTGTCATAGATGCACTTGCTGTCATGATGCTTCTTGCTTCATCGATTATCAAGGAGGCCATATGCTGCTTGCTGCTCAGCATCGACGCCTCGGAAACGAGCCTCTCCTTCATCGCGGCGCTCATTCCGGATGTCGTCGGGGATGAACCCATGTACCTCTGTAGAGTACACTTTGCAGGCAAGGTTAAAAGGCCCGACGTGCGAGCGTAGTCATATCCTTTCGGCGAAATGAAACGCCATATTACGCACTCTCAAATGAACTCTTCAGGGTAACTGTCATGCTTTTTCCTGTACCTTCCGATCTGATGTAGAAGGAAAACAGCGTTTTTTCCCCTCGCTCAGCGTCTGCCACAATTTCCTCAAGTGCAGCCAAGTGCCTGTTTGCACGGTACGCCTCGCTTGCCTTTTGTTAAGCTATCGGCAGAGACAGAGACTTCTGACTTTGAGAACGGTTATAGGCGACTTGAGAACGCAGTCTTCCAACCATAGAAAGGTACCGACTTGCTCGCTGCGCATCATTGTTAGTGGTCTGGGTGGAAACATTTGCAGACGGCTTGTCGAAACTCTCCGGAGCATCCAAACCCGCAGGTAGTTCCTCTGGCTCTGCCTTCCGCTTAGTTGGTTTGCGAGGGGGCAAAGATTGTCTTACGACTGGTTCTTTCCGGGACTTCTTCGCACTTGGCGCCAAGTATGCGGGATAATCTTCAAAGACAGTTGGCACGGCTCCGGGAAGCAGCTTTCTTATCCTGCAGTTAGGAGCGTAATCGATCTGACGGAAGTGCCTGCTGCATACGACAGTCGACGGCGACCTGTCGTTTATTACGAGGTTCTGCCTTGAAATGTTCCGCTGCCATTTTGAGCACAGTTCTTGATCCACAGGGAAGTGATGGAACGAAACCCCCGGCGTTTTCCCGGCACGCGATTTGCAGTACGGGACGCAACAGTACACCATCACAGCACCGGTCGAAGCATATACACTGAGTTCACTTTACTATGTTGAACAACATGAAGCACACTGCGATGAATTTCTGAAAACTCACGCCTTCAGCCTCTCTCAGACCGAAGAAAAGTAAGACGATGTGATTGCGGTTAAATCACAGAAGCACAAACACTGCGAAAACAGCCCGCACGTGCGTCGAAAGCAGCCTGCAAATGCAAGCGCGCAAGCAGCGCAAGTGCCAGGCAAGGGTTGGCTCGCGTAGCCCCCGTGCGGAGACCGGCGGAACTGTACGTCGAGACTCCTCCCCTTTGTTCTCGCCGCCGCTGCGGAGGCCGTATGAAAGCGCGTGCGCCCGGCCAAAAAAGGCCGAAAGCCCGGCCGTGCCTTAACATATCGGTGTGCACGCGACGGCCGACAGATGGCAGCAATTTCGCACGAGGTAATTATGGCTTTAAATCGGGTGGTGGCTGACGCCACCACCCGGTCTAAAGGGTGTAGCCATATCAATTCACCCATCATTCATCCATCCATCCGTCTATTAGTACTCACAAAGGAGCAAAATCGAGCCAGAAAGGTTTCGGTTGTCCCAAGTAATACAAAATAGCATTTCCTTATACACAACGCAATCTTCACTGCACTCTTCCCACAGCCAATGTCCTTCCGCAAGGCCTGATCACGCAGCTCAGTTTTTCCATCAAGATTTATTTATGAAATGAGTACCATCCAGCCATAAATATCGTTCTCCTAAGTTCGAAAACACAATGTGGCCTTGGCGGAAGTACAGCTGTTTTTTTTTCGAACACGTGGCAGCCTAGACGGTGTTTGCATTTGGAACGCGCTTGTTTTTTTTTGTTTTTTTTTACGTTGAGACCAACATGTGCGCAAACTACGGCGCCCACCTGTACTCTATTTAACCGAATAGCATGCGCCAGAAGTGCGTTTGTTTAATTTTACCTCTTTGAAGCGCTACGCCACCTGTCGTATTTTTTTTAAGACTGACGGTTGAAGAGAGGACAAGCATTGCCTTTTGCGACGCCATCACCGTGCTCAGTACTGAAGTGCGTCCTACGGGTGTCGATTAACTTTATCATGAATTTGGCTACTACCTCGCTCTGATGGGGGCAACGAATCCTTTATAATCGACATTGTCTGCGGTACATGGGGATACGATCAACTCACCCCTGTGTGCACGAAAAGTAAGTGCAGGTTCCATCCTATTTCTCGATGTTCGGAAACTCGAACTGAACAAGCGCCTCATGCATTCTCTTCGCGTATCTAAAAACGCACTATTTTTTTAGTAAGGTATCAATTCCTGTCAGTGAGCCCGTCCCTTTACTGACTTTTCATCAGTGACGACCAAACAGCTTGTATAGTCGCGTGGCCGCCGCGACATATGACAATGTTTGTGTGTATTTTTTTGCAAAAATGGGCTGCCAGTGCCCGTTTGGCGTATGTTTCATATGGGTATAGTGCGGCCATATGTGTAGAATTTTTCACGCATCAGTACACTTTGTATAACCCTCAACTTGCCTAGGTGCAATCTTGGAAAGAAATGTTTATATATTCGCAATTTATAAACCAACTAATTACTTGTCCCAAAAAGCACTAAACTGTTAGTGAGTCAAGGTTTTAAACTGCACGTTAGTGGAATATGTTTGATTTCATTTAAAAGCGATAGCGAAAGGTGGGTCAGTAGAATATATTTTATTCTATTTTAAAGCGATTGCGTTAAAGAGGTCGTATCGCAGAAATTCCGGTGACAGCGTTGGCGTCCTTGGTTGTGAGCGAAACACCGGAGATGTTCGTGAACAAAATGCTTAAATAGATGCAAAGAAACAAATGCCTCACCGCGGTGGTATAGGGGCTAAAGTTCTCTGCTGCTGACCCGCAGGTCGCGGGCTCGAATCTCGGCTGCGGCGGCAGCATTTTTGATGGAGGTGGAAATGTTGTAGGCCCGTGTGCTCACATTTGGGTGCACGTTCAAGAACCCTGGGTGGTCGAAATTGGCGGAGCACTCCACTACGGCGTTGCTCATAATCATATGGTGGTTTTGAAACGTTAAACCCTGCATATCTCAATCAATCAAGCAAGCAAGGAAATAAATAATAATAAAGCTTCTTTTGGGTTGCGATTGAACTCAGCCCTTCCGCGGGTCAGAGTCCTACCATGGAATCATTGCAGTGCTTGAAGCTTTTAGTCGAAAGAAAACACTGTAAAAGTGTCATATTATGGGCGAGGTCTCCAAGGTCTCCTTAGCACATGTAATATTGCATCGCACAATCGCAGAACCTCAACAAGTGTCAAAAGATGAGAATTCAGGCTTTCCTGCCATTACACCTATTGAGCAACCCACCAATTAGATAGTGTGCAACTACGCAGATGTGTCTGGCGCTTTACTGAAGCGTAATGGGTTCTTCGGCGATTTGGACAAGGGAGAATTTCGGCGCAGTGAAGATTCATTACGCGTCTATCTGGTAGACATTCAGGGATAGCTTGAGAAGGCCATCGTCATGAGCACAAGTGCTCTTCTGCTTCCGACCCGGTATAAGACGGTGCGCGTGGTGCCTGAATATGATATCGCGTACTACTCCTAAAAACGAACGGGACCATCGTACGTTTTTGGCTTTCACTGGAACGATTCCGTTATAGTTACCGGGCACACAAAGGTCACTGCACTTGTTGCACAGTCTCCGTTTGAGAAAAGGGTGTGCTTTTCAGACACAGCTACCACGTTATTTTCTTCAAGTTTTGTTATCGCCCCGTTACATAGTATGCTCAGCGCAAACTGTTTCCAGGGTGTTAGAAAAGCTTCGATTCTGTAGTAGATCGTTTTGTTAAAATTACACCCCCTACATTAATTTTTCGGATTATTCTGCAACCTACGTAGCTGTAGCGATAACGTTAGAATATTCGATGGCAAGTGTATAAATACCGACATGCTTCGCCGCTGGTCAGTTGATCGACGGCCGACGCTGCATGAGTACTTCTGGGAACCATAAGTACCGACGACTTCGCCGAGCGACAGCGAGCTGACCCTGAACTGAGATGGCTAGGGAATACCTCGAGGGCCGGACTAGTATCGTGTCAAAGGTATTCAGGCAGGGTCTGGCATCGTTTTTCAAACAACTTCCTCGTAAAGATTTTTTCTCCGGCCCGAGCCAGCTACCTTATTACTGTACCTTCGGTGATGCGACCAGATATTCTGCAAGCCCTTCACGACGACCGAGCGGCTGGCCACCTTGGTTTTTCCCGCACGCTCGCGAGAACACAAGAAAAATACTACTGGCCACGCCTTGCCGCCGACGTCATTGATTACGTGAGGACATTCTAGGACTGCCAACGACGCAAGACACCACCGACAAGGCCAGCAGGACTTCTGCAGCCCATCGAACCACCTCGCCGAGCACTTAAGCAAATCGGTATAGACTTACTTGGGCTGTTCCCGACATCAGCTGTCGGAAACGAATAGATCGTCGTAGCTTCCGACTACCTTACCCGCTACGCCAAGACAAAAGCCTTGCCCAAAAGAAGTGCATCAGAGGTAGCCAAATTCTTCGTCGAAAACATCGTCCTGCGTCACGGCACCCCTGAGGTCCTCATCACCGACAGAGGTACGGCATGTATTGTTCAGCTAACCCAGGCGATTTCGGCCTACAGCCAGACAAGCCACCGCCCTATGACAGCCAACCACCCACAGACGAATGGCCTCACCGAGCGCCTAAACAAGATCATCGCCGACATGCTGGCCATGTACGTCAACGTCGAACACAACGTGGGATGACATCTTTCCGTTCGTTACCTTCGCATACGACAGCGCCACTCAAGAAATGACGCTGATAATGCCGTATACAAGTTGGTTTACGGAAGTACCCGGCAATGACGCTCGACGCTATGTTACCCAACGTCACCGACGAAGAAATTTTCAATGTGAGCGAGTACCTTCGGCGTGCTGAAGAGACCCGAGAACTCGCCCACTTCCACATCAAGAACAAACAGATGACGGATAGCCGCCGTTACAATCTTCGACGACGCTTCGCGGAATACCAGCCCGGTGAACGTGTTTCGGTATGGACGCCGATACGCCGACGTCGACTCGGTAAAAAACTTCTGCGACGGTATTTTGGACAATACGGGGTAATTCTACGTCTCGTTCCACTCGATTACGAGATTGTTCAGGACGGCATCACGAACTCCCAACGATGCCGATCGCGATCTGAAGTCGTCCTTGTCGCACGCCTCAACTCGTTTTATGTGCTTTAACAACTCAATGTATTTTGTTGCTCTTCGAATTGCTCTATTGTAGCTTATTGCTTATACTTTCTTGACTTATTTTGTGCTTTCATCTTCTGTTAAAGCATCGGAACGATGTCTTTTTCAGAGGAAGCAGTGCCACGTTCCTTTCTTCAAGTTTTGTTATCGCCCCGTTACACTATGTGCAGCGCTGATCGCACCTAAGGTGTTAGCAGTGTCGAGGCTGTAATAGATCGTTTTGTTAAGATTACCCCCATTTTGTGAATATTTCAGATTATTCTGGAACCTACGTCACTGCTAGAACTAACGGTGGAATGTTTGATGGGATGTGTATAGATACCGACAGGTTTCGCCGCTGGTCAGTTGATCGACGGCCGACACTACATTCACCGCTATCAGTGCAAGTGTGCTACTGTAACCCGACTTTCCGTTTATTGGGCACATGTTCGCCAAAATAGTTTTATCTGACCATCCATCCTCCTGCTACCAGCCACGCCCCGACCCCGTGACACTGCGAAGTAACAACTGAGACGCTCATTAGCGTTCATGTGTACCTGTGAGTAAATGTTGTAAGCCCGTGTGCTCAGATTTGGGTGCACGTTAAAGAACCCCAGGTGGTTTAAATTTCCGGAGCCCTCCACTACGGCGTCTCTCATTATCACGTGGTGGTTTTTGAGACGATAAACCCCACATATCAATCAATCAATCGACACACACACTCTCTCTCTCTCTCTTTCTCTCTCTTTCTCTTATGAGCTTCCGTCGTGATCCAGTCAGTCAAGAGTTTTATTAAATGGTCGGATTTTAAGCCACCAGGGTGTCCCCGAGGGACACTCTAGCAGCCGCGACTGTAGGCGACGTCCGAGTCGGTGCGGGAACGTGGTGGCGTTCCGCCAGTTCTTGGGCTCTCTGGACTGCCTTTTGTTTATTTTAAATGCGAAGCGTTTCTTAGTGAACTTCGGCGATATTGAGCGTATCTATCTATCCATCTATCTATCTACGTATCTATCTATCTATCTATCTATCTATCTTGCCGCCTACGACTTATAGCTCTCCTGGCCGTTTGGATAATGGCATCGATACCAAACTTCATACGGCATAACATGACTGTATGACGAGAATATTTGACTAGTCATAACATGAAAACCATGACATGTATGTCATTAATGTCATGATTTACATTTCATGGTCTTCGTGCTCTTGGGGTGGTCTCGTTCACAATACATGTTGCTAAACTGGTATGGTATGACGTGATTGCATGGCGAACACAAGCGACAAACCCTGACATGGAAATCATGACATGCATGTCATGTAAGTCATCAGTCATGACTGCACGCCACGCTCATGATGCGTTCGCAGCCGTCTCGCTAGCTTCACATATACCAAATTCCGTGTTACGTGATGCGAATGGATGACGAAGGTATGTGACTGGTGCAAACATAATCATGAGATGCGGGTCATGATACATTATGACTACAAGCCACACTCATGATTCCTTCGCAGCCGTTTCGCTAGCTTCAAATACACCAAATTTGGTATTACGGGACGTGAATGGACGACAAAGGAATGTTACAAGTGATGATGGTTTGCAGTGTTTACCATGCCACGCCCCGGAACTGCTCCTGTCTAGATAACTGTTCTTCGAAACCCCCATTGCGACTGGGTACTCTAAAAACACCTCTGAAAAAAAAAACCTTCACGCACTCTCGCATGCAAGCTTTCCAGCCATGACAAGTGAATCATAAGCTACCTATTGCAACCAATAAAATAGGGTGCAAAATTTTTGTCTCAGTGCTCCTTTAAAAAGGGGCCCTGAAACGCTTTTTCAAGTAACCCCGGAATTCATTCACCGGAAAAGCTTATTGTCTCACGAATTCAACGCCGCAAAAAGTTTAAGAATCCGTCCAGTGCGAGTGGAGAAATGTTTGTCGCATGCTGCAATTGCATTCACTCGTCTCGGCGAAAGCGCTGAAAGCTGAGCAGGGAGGGATGGCAACACTGCAGAAAAACGTCACACGAGCCTCGTGGCCTTGAGCACTTTTTCCTTTCTTTTCTTCGAATGCGTCGCTTTCACGGTGTGATCGCGCACGCGCGCGTGAACAAGTCACGGCCTCCCGCAGCGATCTCTGTAATGATCGAGCGCGCAACGTTCCAATCAGGCAATGGCTGATAGATGGGTAATTTACGTGTAATTTCGGGGCATATTCCGCCATTTTTCGAGAGAATAGAAAGCAATTTTTACCTGACTTTGAGAATTTATTGTGAATTCTAGACCGCGTGCTGTGCTATGATATTTGGCTCGCGTGTTGTCTGGAGCCTCTACTACCGATTGGCAGCGTTTTCTGACTATGTTATAAATGTGTTAGGGGTCCCGTTAAATGCGTGCGCGTTCAGCCGATTTAAGTATTGTTTTATGAGACACTGACCGCAATCCCCTTTCCGTTTTCTCAGCAGATCCGCTCATGGAGGATCTCATTAAATTTGAACTACCAAAGCTACAACTTCTTCAGGATGCGAATGAAATAAGCTACAAAGAATGGCGCCGCCGCCGCAGACAAGAGCACCCCAACGGATGCGAAACGGTACGAGAGCGTGGCCGCAACTTTTAGCCTGGTTGCATAACTTGCTCCTATCATAATGTTTTCTTTTTCTTGACCATTTGGTCTTTGAAATACTCTGTATTGATAAGTATTATTTATAGTGCTGGTCGTGTGCACTTACTTCAAGTTAAAGGGACTGTAGTCCCTTACAAAGTCTACGAAAACGAAAATACTACAAGTAAACAGGCTTGAAAGACCAAAGTAGGCAATGTTGTACGGCAAGTTAGAGTCAGAATCTATTTTTACTGTCCTACGTGTACGTGCACTGCCATACGTGTAGGATCAATGGCAGCCTCAGCTCGCCGAGTTCATTCGTGTGCATTTTTTAATTCTTTAAATCATAGTAAATGACTGCAGGTAATGGCTTCTCTTTATTAATAGCTGCCGTGTTTAGTGTATGCATGTATTGAGGCAGTGGCAGATGCTTCCGGAACAGCGCGGAACTCTCTACCACTTCTGCAACTTGCGCGAAGAAAAAATCCCCTCACGTGATTCTTTCTGGGGCTCATCGCCCTGAAACAGGTGGCAATCTTCAGTTTTGAAGAAGTGGTTGCCAATAACACAGTAGTTTACACGTACGAAAGAAACTCAGTTCTACGAAGAACGTGTGAAGTCTCAACATTTTGGCTTACCTGGTGGTGTTATGATTCCTGTATGCATCACCTCATGGGAATGAGTGTTTTCGAAATGAAGCTTTGTCTCTGAACCTGAGTACTTGCCGTGCACTGGACTCTTGCTCAAACTGGTGGTACGTTCTCTTCCTGAACACTAATGACACCGTGTACATTCAGGATTCGCTATGGCGAATGCATCACACGCATGATACATCTGTGTCAAATGCACATCTTGATGCAAGGCGACACTGCGGTTGTACGTATTGTTCACTGGTGAACTCAGGCTACAAGTTATGTTGTATCTGGCGCGGCATTTCATGTCCCTTTACTATAGACCCCATATAACAAACAAGATGAGTTTTAGATCACCAGCAGGACATAGTTATTGGGTTTAACACGGGCAGTGCCCTATAGGAATTCATTTCCTAAGCATTCAACATCGTGTTAAGAAATGCTTGGGAAGCAGTTCTAGATAATGAACTGCTACCACTATGCCGGCATTATGTACATATTATGGTAGCAGGTGTTCAGTGCATTCCCAAAAACATTATTTAGATGACTTACTGTACCGTCTTCAACATCCCTGGATAATTTTACACTGCTTCAAATGAGCAAGGTACACTTATATTTGCACAAAGAGGAGTGTAAAAATCAATGACCACAATCGTGCTCGCCTCCCCAGACGTCGAAATGCATGGCTTATCAAAGTTTATAGTTTCCGAAAATAAATGATAACCATAAAGCTAGTGCATGTCGTTAAGGAGCAAGTTTTGGCACAAGCAAATATGTGTGTGTGTGCGTTTTTCAATTTTCGTTACTCATGGCATCATTAGTTCATTCTTTTTCTTTGAAGGCATCAGTACAAGCCCCAATACATGAGGGCATCGTGCACTCTCCATACAAGATATCCGACGTGGTCGAGCTGTCATTTTTCGACTTCCTCGCAAAAAGCATCCGCTCCCACGGAAAGAAAATTGCACTGGTGAGAATGTTTTCATTTATAAAGGTCAAGTAGATCACTTTTTCAGATAACAGAGCTGCTGCTATATAGAGCTGCCTTAAATTGAGGAGTTGGGGAATGAAATGCGCTTATTTCTGAGGAATACAAATGCACAGCACCTCGTCGCATTTTTGTAAGATTTCTTTCAATGTATTACAGCCGGGAAGAGAAATCTATGGTTGCGAGCAATGATCACTTTTTATAATAGTCTAGTCGTTTGTTCTGAGATATATTTAGCGCAGGCAAAACAAAACATGACAGATACATCTGTATCATAATGAACGCGGTGATGCCAAAGAAAGCCTTCTTCAATGAATTTTGTCCTTCAAGCAAATTGACAATTATATTAAGTGGAGAACACGTTATATTAAAACGCGTATAAAAATTGAAAAGCGAAAAACAAACGAGCAAGAGAAAGAGAAAAAAAGGCTAAAAATAACAAGAAAAAGAAATAAGCAGAAAAAAAAGAAAAAGAGAGCTAAATCTGGAAAACTTGAAAATAACGAAGGGAGTAGAAAAAAAGAAGAGAGAAAAACAAAGAGGGCTGTCTTTCTCCAGGCATTACTAGTGTGAAGCCAACCAAATTTTTCTTTGGTAGATTTTGTTTTTGAAATTACGCTCTCCTGTTAGTAATTGACATATGCATACCATCTCGCCACTCTAATTGTTGGCTGCCAATTGTGAAATATTTCTCTTTCTTGGTGTTTTGTGCATTTTTGTCGCTGTCATATTGCTACGCTTTCAAAGTGATAAAGAGGACGAAGAACTGTTGAATTGTTGGCGCTTGGGACCATTGGCCACACACTTTTTCTGTGTTCCGTCGCATGCTATGCTAGTATATTCGGCACCGATTGCGTTGGTACGTTTTGACGCAACCCAAATGCGCAGTCGTTGCGTCCTAGTGGTGTCAGCACGCTGGCGGCTACTCTTGCTGTGAACGGCAAAGTAAAAAAAAATGGCTCCGTATCTGCATGTTACATCGCAAATGTCGATGATAGACGATAGTCTCGCGTCTGAAGAGAGTGAACAAAACGTTTGGTGTTCTGCGCAAGAAAATCGGTGAATGGTATTCTGGAGGCGCTGCGTTAGAACGCCACGAGCGTGCAGCGGAGGTGAACGAGCACATCAAGTCACGTCACACGTGAGACATGAGCGCTTTCTGGCAGTTATTCTGGAAAACGGGGTGCGTGCCGTGTGCGCCTGTCTCTGAGGTGATAAGATGTAGAACGCAAGGCGATGGGTAGATACTACCCCTGTGTCGTCTTAGCAAAGCGTTGGAAACACTTGCTGTTTCAGGCAGTCGCATGACCAGCGGAGCGCTATAAAGGCTGCGGTCTTTAAAATTACTTATGTATGCCTTTCTTAGTTAAAAAACACACGTAATAAATATTGACGTGTTGTTATGATGCCTCAGATATGCGCAATAAATTGACAATTTAATTGACAATCGCACAAGTATGAACACTGAAGCTTCAGCAATATTGGTGGGGGCTGCGGATGGAATCGGCCGTTTGGATTATCGTTTGGTCACTTTTGTGTAGTTAAGAATACCGTTAATGGTGGACAAACAGAAAAATGTACAGACAGACAGACAGACAGACAGACAGACAGACAGAACAGACAGACGGACGGACGGACGGACGGACGGACGGACGGACGGACGGACAGACAGACAGACAGACAGACAGACAGACAGACAGACAGACCAAAATTTTTTCGCCGAAGGTCCCCAAGAAAGACCATCGTCTTTAAAATTTCTGCAAGAGCAGCGCCCACCGAGCAAGGCTATCGGACGGGTCAGGAAGACTAAGCAAACAAGACAGCGAGTGGGGACCAGTGACAATCGTAAAGTAGCGTCTGTATATACATGTGCGCCTCGGTGTGACAGTGGCTAGAATGCTCGGATGCTGACATGAAGGTGACGCGTTTGAGTCCGGCCGTGGCGGTCCCATTTCGATGGACATAAACTGCTAGAGGTCCGTGCACTGTGGGATGTCAGTGCCTGGTAAAAAACACCAGATGGTCGAAATGTTCGGAGCCTTCTATAAAAGCGTCTCTCATAATTGTATATTGGTTTCGGGACGTCAAACTACCGATATTATTATAATCCCTATCTTTATTAGAGATAAGAGGGGAACTAATGGCAAGCAAGAGCTACGAAGAGGCGCTCAGTGACGGTGCAGTTCTGTTCAGCCTTGCGCAACAAACGGCTAGCGAGTATAGGCAATGAGATACTCGTCGCCACCGAAACGCGGTATGAGTACGGCGCCGATTCTAACTGCGTTGACGTGCATTGTTGCTGGGGCATAAGGATCGAAATGACAAATTTGGGGTCACACAGAAGGTAGAATTCTTAGTTTTCAAAAGTAGAAATCGCTATCCGCTATCAATGTGAATTATGTAGTCAAGTCGGAAGGTACCATGTTCACTCTGTGCAGGCGGGAAGTTATCTTTTCCTCCACTCTAATACTCTAATAGCTTGTCATTTTTGTTACAATTACCAATAATAACAACGCTACAAATAACAATAGAAGTAACAGTGTGTTTTTGGCTTAATTTCCGATTACTTCTCCATCATGATCCACCTAACAAAAAAAAACTAGTCCTTCGAATAATTTTTCCACTTGCGTACGTTCACGTCAAGCAGAAGACTTGATGCATTCAGGTATCACGCGAGGAATCACTGGTGAGTAACAAGCTTGGAAAAGATCATGTACTTCGTAATGCCAGTGGGTTGAAAAGGCACCGCCATGGCTCCAATAGGCGTTGATTAACGATCCCAAGTTTGAATGCACAGAGATGCCCAATAAAAGGCATGCGAGGATGAACATCGCCATAGCTACAATGGAAAGACGTTATGCGAACATTGCAGGTTCGATCCCTTTCACCGGCAAACTATTGTTTAGTTAACTTTAATTTTCTGTTATTGATATCAAAATTATGCGTGTGCGAATAGTGAAATTCGGAACTAACCCTAATACGAATCTAATAGTGATCATACCGAATCAACTGCGAATACTTATGAAATATTATTCGAACAGATTTCGAATAGTAAGGCAACCACTTTGAAGAGACTCCTATAATTCTACAACCTATTTGTCAACAAATATTTCCATATTTTAACAAAGCAACATCTTCATTGCACTTAATAAACAAAACATGTCATAATAATGTAAACTGAGGTACGTTTATACTCTGTAGCGACTAGAGCTGTCGAGCTATTGTTTAACTGCTGGGTTAATAGAGCAGTAACTTGCGTGTTCGAGGTGGTTCTCCTTCAGCACTTCATAGGTAACACTGAGACCTCATCATTAAGGAATATTTCATGAATTTCAGGGTTTTCGCTGGCCGTAACCTCCTTAGTTTTAAAAGGGTGGGTTTTATAGTAGAATATCAGATACTCTAGATCATTAACGACTTTTTCCAAACACAACGAGTTTGAATCAAAAGTTGCTTCATCTGGTGATGAGTAGCGCTTCGATGGTGCGGTAAGAGCTTGACTTGCATGAATATTGCCAATGTACTAAATAAAACCACAAAAATAATCAATGGCTCTTCCAACGTGTTATAAATGCGAAGCATTTCTTTGTAAACGGCTAATACTTTGGCGTCTATCTGCGTATTCATCTATCTAGCCGCTTGCGTTTGGATGCTTTCGGGGTCACCCTCTTAACTTGGCGTGAATTAAAGTCAGTATGTGAAGGTACGCTGGTTTGACTACTATGAAGCACTGGCCAGGACATGAATAATGTCACAATCTCGTCGCGTACGTCGTCAAACACTTCCCGCCATAGAGTGGCACATACCTGCGGGCGGGTACGTGCCACGTGAGTGTTTTTGGTATGCGGGTGCACTGGTATGGTGCGCTAGTACTGGCACTTAGTATCTACTTAGGAACGACGAGAACACAAATGGGCAATTTAGACGCGTGAACGTTAAGAAAAACCTGGCATCGGCAGCGTTGATTCAATGACTGCAAGGAATAAATGTCAGGGGCCCAGCAAGAATAGAAACCCAGCATTCTGCGTGGCAATCGAGCGTTCTACCACAAAGCTACGCCAAGTCTCGGAACTACTTTTCATATAGACCCTAATCTTCGTGAAAGGACAGCAGCGGTTGCAGTGCTATCCAATTTGATAAGCATTACATATGTACCCCTATGATACAGCCGTCACGTCGGGCTAACGTCCATTGCAGTTAGGTGCCATGCGCTGATGTAGATTTATGTAACAGTGTCAAGGGTTACCATCCTCGCAATCACCAGCGTTTCATATCAGCTTATCCCTCCTGGTGTTGCTAATACTCGTGTTCCTGTTGGCATCGTTAAGCAAGTGCAAAGAAGTGGTTATATGAACACCTGCAACATTTCAACATATGTCTGTGCGTGCAACATTTATGCATATATTTAGCGGTCGTCTCATGACGTGTAGCCTAATAAAAGATTGGCCCCGTATGTGCATGCTAATCTGCAAATGTCGTTGAAAGACGATAGTCTTGCGTGCGGAGAGAGGGAACAAAACATTTATTTGATGTTCTGTGCAAGAAAATCGGTGAATGGTATTCTGGAGGCGCTGCGTTAGAGTGCCTCGAGCATGCAGCGAAGGCGAACGAGCACATCAAGTCACGTCACACGTAAGACATGAGCGCTATCTGGCCGTTTTCTTAGAAAACAAAACACGCGGTTCTGAAATGGGAGTGCGCGCCCGTTTCAGAGGTGATAAAGTGTAGAACGGAAGGCGATTGGGTTGGTGCCACCATCGTGTCGTCTTAGCAAAGCGTTGGGAACACTTGCGTTTTCGTTCAAGCGTTGCATGGTCAGCGCAGCGTGATAAACGCTACGGTCCTTTGAATTACTTATGTATGCCTTTTCCACTAAAAGACGCACATAGAGAATATTTACGTGTTGTTATGGTGCCTCAGATATGTGCAATAATTGCTTTTTTATATGAAGCATTTCTTACCTAAATTCGGTGACTTTGAGC